CTGAAGCTGAGAACTGAAGAGCTCAATGGCTACGTGCTGGGCATTGTGTTTCTGGCACAGAAATAGTTCCTCATTTGTGTATAGAGGAGCTGGAGCTTTTTTCTTTTCTCAGCTACAGATCTGATTCTTCCTCCAGGGGAATAAGGAGAGCTTATACCTTTAAGAAAAAATTAACACCTGTAAATGTAAAATGCTATCCTATCGTTGTGTGTGCTTTGGTTGTGTTTCATGAACCTGGCCTAAAAGCAGTCATGGACATTTAAGTTCTGTTCCAGAAACAGATGGCATTGGGAGCCTTGCCAGCCCTTTCCTAAAGGGTTGGGTGCTCAGTCTCTAGCATAGAGTCTTTCCTTGCATTCATATTTTTCTGGGTTTAAAATAAAAACATTACAACTTTTTAATGGAATAGTAAACTACTGGAATATTACTACTGGAATACTAAACAATCTATTTTCACTGCTTGCTTTTTTGATGTTTGTAACGTCCTAATGTACGAGTTCTCCCTTCAGCTCATAAACTTTCCATAGAGAGTACTGGATTTTTATACGTATTTTTTTTTAATAAACTCCACAAGAGTTGTGGTTTTGCTTCCCAGTTCATTATTTATTCATTCCTCAAACACTTGCAGCCATATAAGATATCTCACAGCCTTGCACTTCCCACTCCCAGCTTTTGACCGAGCTGCCGTATCACTACTGGTGTGTTCACCACAGTGCAGAGCCTGCTCTTTCTGTCAGATGTGTAGCTGCTGCTCTTCTGTTGCTGCTTTTTATTCCTCCATCTCCAGGAAGAGAAAAAGATCTGTGTCTGCTTGTATTTGATACACAGGAACCAGGGTATGGAACCTGCATAGTCTGCCTCATGTCTTGATGTCCACTCTCAGCCAGTTCTGTGGTGCTAGCTGTGACCTGGGTCTAAGCTCCCTGAAGTTGTCGGTAGCTCAGCATTCTCTGCTTCTCTTCCAGATTTTTAAATCCTGGACCTGAGTCTTGTATGGCTTCTCTCCTTGCAAGCAGTTTCAGAGTTTGTACCTGTGACCCCTGTAGCTTCACGCTCCGTTACCGCTCCCGTGGTGTCGCCGTCAGGACCGTTCCCCTCGGCTGGCACCGTGACCTTGGCATCTCTCACTGCCTCCTGCTCTCACACTGAACATGGAGCTACTTGTCTTCATTTCCCGTGGCCCTGAAGGGCATAAAGTCACTGTGCCATCTCTGAAAATTGAGATGTAAAACCAAACTGTCTTCAGAGTCTGCAGTGTATGCTTGTTCCATGACTGGAGAAGGATTCCCTCACCTCTCCCAGCCAGGGCTCCACCTCCCTGTTTATGGGAGTTCCCCAGTCTCCCACAACAGCAAACTTCCTTCTCCATGTCTTCTGAAGAGTGCTCCTTTTTTTTTGGGGGGAGGATGCCTGCAAGAGCATGAAAACACTTTTAATTCACTGTGTCCTGTGACCCTGATCAGTTGTCTGTACCTGTTTCCATATGCTCTCATTGTTGGTTGGTTGTGTGATGGACTCATCTGGGCTGGCAGGGATCTCGTCGCATTGCCTGGGCTGGTGGCACTGCACAAGCAGTGCCAGCTAGTGCAGTTTCCCAGGACTGTGTCCAGTCAGGCTTTGAGTGTCTTCCAAGGATAGACTCTACAACCTTTCTGGGCAGCCTATGCTAGTGTTTGACCACCCTTGCAGTAAAGAAGTTGGTGCTTTTTCCTCTTTTTTTCCACTGTGTTTTTTTCCAGACAGAACTTTCTGGTTTAGTTTGTGCCTGTTGTTTCTGGTGCTGTCCCTGGGAGCTGTTGAAAGGAGTCTGGCTCCCTCTTCACTGCCTCCTGTCAGGTACTTACACACACTGATAAAAACTGCCCCCAAGTCTTTTCTAGGCTGAATGGTTCCAGCTCTCTCAGCCTCTCCTCATAGGAAAGATTCTCTAGCCCCAGTGTGTCCCCATCTTTCTTGTGCCAAGGACCTGGACCTGGACACAGTACTGCAGACACTGCCTCAGCAGTGCTGAGTGGGGGTCAGTGGTCACCTCCTGTGACCTGTTGTCAGCAATCCTCCCAGTGCAGCCTGGGGTAAGGTTTGCCCTCATTGCCACGAGGGTGCATTGCTGCCTCATCTTCAGCTTGTCAGCCCAGACCCCATCCATTCAGCCAGTTTCCTCTCCACCTGCTTGTTCGTTCCTCTAACCCACGTGTTGTCAGGATGCCTGTGAGGATGTTAGGAGAAGCCTTCCTAGAGCCACAGGACATGCAGCTCAGTACTCACCCACCCAGCTAGGCACCTCCCTGTAGCAGCTGTCAGGTTGGTTAGGCATGGTTTCCCATGTGCACTGTTCACAATTATTTATATTTACCTTCTTGTCCTTCATCTGTCTGGAAGTGGTTTCCAGGATTACATGCTCCATCACCTCCCAGGGACTGAGGTGAGGCCGACTGGCCTGTTATTGCCTGGGTCTTCCTTCTGGCTTTTCTGAATGGTTTAGAGTGAGTGGCTTTCCTTTTTCTTCTTTGTGCTGACAATGTTGATCCATGACTACAGCTTCTACACACTACAGCACTGTAATGACTAAGCAAAGCATATGACTCTCCTTTTTCTTGGTCATTTTAAGCTGTACAGATGCAAGGTGGGAAATAGAACTTGCAGCCCAAAACTCTGTTCCTAAAGCTCAGGCCTCTCCCATGTGAACGAGTGAGTCCCTTTGTGAGGCAGAGGGTGGTGTGAGGGAGGCTGTGTCTCTGTCCCCCTGTGCATCTCTCCCCTGGGGTGCCAGGTTTCTGACCTCACTCGCCCTGTTCCCCCGTTGCAGGACGCAATGAGCTCATCGCTCGCTACATCAAGCTGAGGACTGGGAAGACACGCACGAGGAAGCAGGTGGGTCTGAGCTCCTGGTGCCATCGGCCTCTTCGGGCCCCTGCGCCCCACGGGGGCTCACGAGAACAAACCCCCTTTGCTCCCCTGCTGCTCCTGGCTTTGCTGGAAAGGGGCTGTTGTGCTGGGCTGGCTGAGAACGACGGGCAGGGTCAGCTCAGGCGTTCTGCAGCAGGGCTATAAACCCAGCTACATTATGACATCTTTCCACTCTTTAACAGAGTGTGGGTTTTGTTTGGACTACCAATGAACGTTTTGGTGAACTTCAGTGGTTCTATGTATGGAGAGACTTTGTTCAGCACAGGGAGATGGACAGCAATGGTGATTTTGAAAATACCTGGCCCATGAGATGAAAAAAGGATCTTTGTAATTTAGGAGTGACAGTCCAGGCTATGCTGGCCAAAGCACTGAGAAACCTGGATCTGATTTGAATAGGGGGTTGGCAGTTGCCATCCAGAGTTCCTTCCAACCTAAATTATTCTGTGATGCATCTCAGCCCACGTTTGACATGGGGAAGTTCTGAGAGTCATTATGTAGTGGCCAGGCATATGGAACATGTTTCCCTTCTCCCAGGAGGAGGCCAAGATGGGAAGCAGAGGGATAAGAACCTTCAGTCCCTAGATTTAAGGATGGGTTCTTTAGTTTTAAAGGATGTCTCTGTCTTGACAAAGCCATTTTAATTGGAAAAGGCCTTAAATGGCCCATCTTTGCTGGTCCCCCTCCTCATTTCATGACAATTAAGTTATGTTCAGAAAAGCATCTTATTGGTCTATTCCCCCCCAATCAACACTAAATCATTCTTTGTTTCACAGGGTGCCTAAAGTATGTTTTTTTTTGCAAGCAGCTACCAACTGCTCATCTGGAATAACAATGAGTTTTGTCTTTCAATGCAGGTGTCCAGTCACATCCAGGTCCTGGCAAGGCGGAAGGCTAGAGAGATCCAAGCCAAGCTCAAGGTAGGATAGGTATGATAGGTGTCCTTTAACTTACCACAAAATTCATGGTACTGCACGTTAGATATTTTACTGGATATGAAGGATATGGGGTGGAATACCTCATTGGTGAATCTTAGGGTTACTTATCTTGTCTGCTTCTCCCTGCAGGTGGGGCTTCTACTTTCTGCCCCCCTCTGTGTGGTCCACAGGCTTTAGCAGTGACGTTAATCTGCACACCAATACTTCAGTAATCCTGTTTAAAGAATAAAGAAACCATAACTTTAAACTTCAGGTGTCTGATTTCTACCTCTGGTTTATGCTGCTGTTATCCAAGTCTGAAAGGCTCCTAGACTTGGGAGCATGCAAAAAGTGTTTACCTGAGAAAGAGGGGTTTGTCAGAGATGCTGACCAGCTGCCAGTCCCTGGTGGTGTGGCAGCTTTGGGAAAGGGCACCTGTACAGATACTGCAGCCCTAGTTCCACCTCTGCTAGTGGCAGTGATGTGGAGTTGTCCATGAGAAAGTGGTCTGAGTTGGCATAGCCATTGAGAGGAAGCACTAGAGCCAGATGACATCTTCTCAGGTAAGATGGTACCAGCTGAATAGGCTTTGCCTCTCATTATTTCAGACCTGCTTTGAAGAGGCCTGGGCCAATGAGGAAGGAAAAGGTTGACTGCTTGCTTGAACAAATCTGTTTCTTCCATTCTCTAGGAAGAGTTCTGAGGTCGTGCTAATGACCTGATACCTCCTGACATTGGTTTCCACTCAGATTTGAGGCAGGGAGATGTGCTGAGTCTCAACTGCCAGAAATGTCAAGCAGGCCAAGTTGATAGGAGGCAATTGCACAAGAAGGTGTCCCCTGTTAGAGTGTGAGCCATCCAGAAGGGGCTGGCCGGGCAGGGTGTGAGCTGCACTCCTTGTGTCACCCAGGCAGTGGGAGAAGGAGAGTGCCTGCTGACCTTCCTGGTGTGGTGTGGCAGTAAGTGCTCTGGAGGGAAGTGTTTGCTTCCCTGGTCTTCCATGCCTCAGGTGACAGTGAGGTGACAGTCCAGGCCTGGCTGTGGAGTGGGCAGCTGGTAGCTGGTGGTTCTTGGCTGGCTGTGCAGCTCATGGTGAGCACCAGGAGAAGTAGACTCTCTAGTGAGCTGTGGGCACCCAGCCTTGACGAGAGCTGAAGTGCATGAGTTTCTGGTGCAACCAGAGCTTGCCTCTGAGCTGTGACTGCACCCCCATCCCACTGATGGTGTGGCTGTCATTGGCCTCCTGTTTCCAGCTGCTCTGACAGAGACAACGAGCCAGAGATTACAACGAGTTCAGTGCTTCTGGGCAGGGCTGCCTGGGCTTGAGAGGTGTGGTGAGTGGCCAGTCCAGCTGGAGGCCTGCTTGGGGGGCAAGTTAGAAGAAGTAGGGAGCAACAACTGCCCGGGGTGTTCAAAGATTATATCCTCTGCTTAGATCTGTCACCTTGACTCTGTTCCTTGTGTGTCACAGCTCTGGGATTTGGCAGGGTTGGAAAGCCAGTCAGAGGAGCCTGGTGGCTGCCTCTGTTCTCAGGGGATGAAGGTGTCTCATGGAGCCACTGGTGGCTCTCTTACAGCACCCCAAGCCGTGCTGTGAGCTCTGCCCAGCACCTGCAGCAAACGTTCCCAGTCCCAGACTCCCTGCTGCCTGCAGAGGCACCTGTGGCACTGGACCAGCTCGCTGCTTTTGCCAGTCAGTTTGTAGAGCAAGGAAGAGAAATGACAGAAGCTGCTGCCTGTCCTCCAAGTTCCTCCTGACAGCTCTTTTCTTCTGCCACTGTCCATTTTCCATAGCAAGTGTGTTTTCAGTCATATCCCAGAGATCAGAGCAGCTACATGCTGGTTTTTCAGGGCTATTACTGTAACACTGCTGTCTCCAAACAAGCTGGGATGTCTTCTCTAAGTGCACACTGTGCCTAAAGCAGAGGTGGCAGAGCAGGGTAGAGCTTGGGGAGAAATCTCTTTATAGAAATCAGTAGTTTTCCATATCCTGGGTGGCCAGCAGATATCACCTGCACCAAAGAAAAAGAGGGCTATTGTGGTGGTGTTATTGTTATTGTGTGTTTTGAGAATAGTAAAAGAAAATGCAAATGTTTGGTGAAAGATTTTTTTTTCTTAATTTTATTTTTTTTCCACATTGGAAACACGATACAAGTGAATGCAGAACTTTTAGCCAAAAGAGAAAGGAGATCTCTTTACAAACACATGCTCTTTCCAGCAGTATGTCAGGCATTTAAAAAAAAACCAAACCAAACCAACACAACAGAGGTTAATAGGTGAAATCTTTTCACTTCTTAATTTTTCAATTTTTTTTTTTACTCTAATACTTCCAGAAGTAAATGTCTTCCTCACTCATGTATAAGCTCAGGTAGACAAATACCAATTTTTCCAGTGAGGGAGTGAAGGGAGGAAAATATTCTGCAATGGCAGCTGGGGAATGGTCCTCACAGACAAAACAAAAAAAAGAGAGAGATGAATCCTTACCTTTAAAAAATGTTGTAGGTAATCCTTAAAGTATTCCCTAAAGCATTATTTAAACTGGATTCTGAAAACCTTTCCCATAGCTTTGGAGCATCTTAGGAACTTTCTCAGCAATTAAAACATTTCCCTTCCATTCACGTGAGCAGTACTAGCAGGATTCACAGATCCTGTGAAAAAGCAGAGAGGTGAGTTTGCCATTGCTGCTGACCATCCCACTTAAGCATTATCATTTATTCTTGAGCTTTTGTTATGCTTTCTCCATTTTTTTTTTTCTGTTAGACACATCAGAATTTCTGGGCTTTGAGCTCAAGAAATCCTTACAGTAAGTGGAGAGGTTGGAGAGAATGGAGACCCAGGGGTGAGAACTTAGTGCAGTCCAGTGAATGCAGTTCCTGAAGACAAGAGCTTACCTCTTCCAGCAGCTTACCCGAGCCATGGATTGGTCTGTGGCATTGCCATTATGTCACAGATAAATGTGGAGTGTTTGAGGGTTGAAGACTAATTGTAGGGGATGTAGGAGGAAGGACAGAATGTGGGAAAGTGCTGCTCTTTGCCTATATTTTCCTTGGAGAAAGAAATGAAGAATGTTATTTGTTCTTAACCTACACTTGTTGCACTGCCATTGCCTGTAAAGTATGTGCAATCCCACAGCCCTCTTGAAATACACACAGGAATGTTCTTGCATATGTGCCCTGGGAGATTTAATAGTCTGGGGGATTTCCCATTTTCCCAGGGATGGGAATAAAATCATCAACTGTACCTGAGACTAATGCAGCCCCAGTCTGAGGTAGTCTGTCTGCAGTGATGATGACAAGCTACAGTGATGGATGAAGGAATAACGTGCTTCTGAAGCTCTTAGGGCAGTTATTGATGAGTCTGCTGCTCAGGTTTTCAGAGCTGCTTCTCTGCAAGGCAGCTGATGAGAAGCCTGGTTATGCAGCATTAGACCAGGCAACTTGTTTATCATTCTAATAATTCTGTTGTTTTTTTTTTCCTGTTTCCACTCTTCCCCATAGGACCAGGCAGCTAAAGATAAAGCCATGCAGAGTATGGCTACGATGTCATCTGCCCAGATTATCTCTGCAACTGCCTTCCACAGTAAAATGGCCTTGCCTGGTCTCCCTCGGCCAGCCTACCCTGCTGTTTCTGGGGTGAGTGAATCAGGGTCTGGGCAGCTGGGCTGAAGACACTTGAGTATCTGAAAGGGTGTTGGAACCTGCTCAGGAAGACTCTGAGCACATCAGAAAGAATGGGCCAAAGGGCATTGTCTTTGTAGAACAATTTTGTCATATGGCTTCAACAGTTTGGGTCTGTTTCTTTGTTCGCAGTGATGTAAAACAACAGTTTCACTAAAAGTTTTGTGGTTTTTTTCTCTGTTAATGACAGAAATGAGGGAGCAATTGGATCCTTTGGGCTTTCAACTGCCTGAAATAAATTTAGGTGTCTGTATCACTTTCTTAGTCCAGGATCTTGTTGGATTAAAACCATTTGGGTCATCCGGACTCTTTCTCAAGCTTATAATTCACTCTTCTGGACTGCTTAGATCACAAATTGATGGCCTTATATAAAATCCTTAATATAGGAAGCCTGTCAGCATCCCCTAACCTTTGAGCTGGACCTTGTGAGCTTTTGCTGAGCATTGATTCTGCCAAAATTGTCCTGTGAAGCTCTTCTGGGGGAAGTGGTGCCTCTAAGGAAGTAAGCATCCTTAAAGCTTTGGAGAGGGAGGCACAGGGTGCAAACATAGTGTTTAAAACTAAAACCCACTGTGGGGTCAGTTGCTTGCATGTGTCACTAGTAGTAACATGTAGAAGGAAAACAAAGACCAGTCAGCACCTTCACAGGGATGAAACCATGACTACAGAAAGAAGTATAACTCAGTCACATCTTTAAAGGAGCTTGCAGGTCCTTTCCTCAGAAAGGAGGAAGCCTCACTTTTCATCTGTCCTGCGAGTGGTGACTCTTGCCTGTGTGTTGTTCTCTTGCAGTTTTGGCAAGGACCTTTGCCAGGCCAAGCTGGATCTTCCCAAGAGTGAGTATTCTTTCATGTCCAAAGCAGCTGCTTCTGCTGCTTCCTGCATGCTGCTTGAGAAACACCATTAGCTATTACAAGATTTATAAAATGCTAAGGTAATGTAAACTTTGCTCTCAAGCAGCTTTCCTGACTGTGGATCTGAGACTTAAGGCCCATGGTTGAAGACAGAGAGTCATGAGAGAATCCTAAATAGATAAAACCCTATGTCTTCATAGGGAACCTTCACCATGGATTACGTCCCTTTAATGCTTCCCATGACTCAAGCAGCCCAGTATGGGTTGTTCTAGGGAGCTGCTGAGTCTAGCAGCCTGTTGGGGTGAAGGTGCTGCAGCTCCATGCTCCCAAGTTCCACCAGTAGTGAGGATGAGCATGTACTCCCAGGAAGCAGACATGAATATCCATCTGCACTGCAAACAGGCAGACAGACAGACAGAGCTGGCCACACAGAACAGCACAGACAGTGCTCAGCACTCGCACAGCTACAGCCAGCACCAGCACCCGTGGGAGCTGCGGGTGAAGGCTGGCAGTGGGAGTACACGTGTGCTGTGCTCAGGGACCCCCTGTCTCCTGTGTGCTGCAGCCCTGGCAGGTCAGCCCTGGAGGCCACAGGCAGCCAGACAGGACACACGCTGTGAATCTCGGGGTACCTGGGCTTAGAGACCCGTCTGCCCAGGAGCTGGATCTTCACTTTCCCTGCTTGGCATCCCACAGATAAACACCCCCCCCTCCTCCTTGGGCTGACTAACAGACCCACACTCGCTGCCGTGTGCCTGAGACTCCTGGTGTCTCTGAAGGCATCCTGGAGACACACAGAGCCAGCTCCCAAACCAGGCACCTGCTGGCTGGCCTGGCTGGGTGATCACCAGTGCTCACACCCTCACTTGCTGCTGGCACTCCAGAAACAGGTACAGGCAGAGACCTGAGAGGTCCTCCCTCAGGAAAACAATTAGAAATAGAACTTAATGAGGAGAGAGAACAGACTGCACTGGCAGAGGGATCCCGTGGGTCACTGTGTTGGTTTCCCACCTGAGCAGTGGGGATGCAGCCTGTGCTGGGACAGCCCTGCCAGGGGCTCACCTGCCCCAGTGTGGAGATGGCCTTTGGTGGTGGTTGGGCTGGTTGTTCACCAGTGGTGTCACTGGGTGTGGTTGTGTCAGAGTATTGTTCAGGTTGCTCTGTCTGTCAGTGTTCCTCTGCTCCTCTGGTCATGTGGAGAGACACTTTGTATCCCATAACCTAACAGGAGCCATGTTAAAGACTGGAAGTCACTGGGGGACTGTTGCTCACCCGAGCCGTGTATTCCTGCTCTCCTGAGGTGCTATTGCTGATGTCTGTGGAGTAGATCAGGGAACAGATACTATTAAGAAGCTTGTGGGGAAAAATCGCTAGTAAAAGAATGGAAGTCATCCTAAGAGAAAGGCATAAAATCTACTTTTTATTTACCCTGAAAGTGAATGAGGAAGCGTCAGTGCAAGAGGTTCTTTTAGAAGCTTGAGCTGTCTGCCACCCCTGATGTCAGATGGCATCTTCAGATCCTGATTTTTCTCACAGTGCTGTTGAAATGGAGCTGAGCAGCCTTGAAAGCTGGGATCAGCCGTGGGGGCTGGACGTCTCTGAGTCTGGGCCTGGGGGTCCAGAGAGACACCAGTGCAGCCCTGTGCCCACGGGCATCCTACAGACCTGTCTGTGGCTGGAAGGAGAGGAGGACACCAGTGTGTTAATGGGCTGACAAGGATCTCTGAGTAACAAGTCTGCAGGGAGAAGCCTGCCAGGAAACCTTACTGAGCCCAGCCCTGGCCCCTTACTGGTTTTTGAGTCTTTCTCCATGAGCCTCCCTTGCCCACACAGAAAGATGATTTCCCAAAGACCTATCACTCACTCCCTCAGCAGACACACTTGATCTCTTCTGTGCAAACAGTTAGTTCAGAATCCTTTTTGGTTTTTTCGTTCTTTTTTCGGTCTTTGTGTTTTTTTGTGAGTTTTGGTTTTTTGGTTTGTTTTTTGTTAACCATCTATCTGTGTGTACTTCTGTAGTGTGAAGCCTTTTTCTCAGCAACCGTATGCTGTACAGCCTCCGCTGCCATTGCCAGGTAGGTAAGCAAATGCAGTTCCTTTCTCTGAAATTACATTGTAACTTCAAATCTACTACACACTTTAAAAGGTTTAAAATTCTTTATTAAAAAAAAAAATTACCTATTCAAACATTTCAGTAAGCTGAAAAATAATTAATTTCCCTTATCATTTGTTTCCATCCTTTTACTGAGAAAGATGAAGCTTTTTAATTTTGTTTGGTTAAAAAAAAACACATTATTTTTTCCTGGTTTCTGTTGATTGTTTTGGGGTTTCTTTTCCTCCTGGCTCAGCATAAATAGGAGTTTAGACATCTCAGTTGTTCTCCCACCATGCTGTATGTAGGAGACCACTCTTTTCCATGGTAACATGATTGCCTTCCCAATTTCCCATTAAGTGCAACAACAAATGTTTTTTATTTCTCCATGTCCCCATTTTGAGGGGGGAATGGTCAACAGTGATGCTTCATTCTGCTATTAAACCAGTTTCAGTGCTCATTTAGGGCTCAGTCCAGGTCCTCTTAAAGTTGCTGAATGGTTTCCTCTGGTGTCCAAACCAGGCAGGTTGTCTCCTGCATCAGTATGAACCCTGACTGCTCGCTCAGAGGGCAGCTGACAAACCACTTAGGTCACAGGGAGAGTGAAGACCTTCTGAATGATATTTTTGCATGATGGTTGAAGTCATAAGAAAATGTAATCAGCTTTAACAACAGATGCTTTATTGGAAAGCTGTTACCAACTTTTCCTTTCCTAAATCTTGTTCCATAAATCCTGTGTGCTTAGGGTTTGAGTCTCCTGCTGGCCTCTCGCCTTCCCCATCAGCACCAGCCTGGCAAGGACGACGGGTTGCTAGCTCCAAACTTTGGATGTTAGAATTCTCTGCATTCTTGGAACAACAACAAGACCAAGACACAGTAAGATACATGCCTGGCTCCCATCCCTCACTAACTTTTCATCTTCAGGTAGCTCCTGTTCATCGTGGATATGTTATATTAGCTATCTCAGGTTATTTCAAGTTATACAGCAGCAGCACGAAGCAATGATTTAGGAGTGAAAATAGGAAAAAAAAACAGTAGTAATGTTTCAGAAGAGGCAAGAAGCATGGGTGTATTGATAGGAAGGAGAGATCACCATGAGCTGCTACCAGCAGAGACATTTCTGCTAATACTTCTGCTCTTTCAGAAGGTGCTGTCAGATCTTCAGTGACTTCCAGTGACGTCACTTCACATTCTGTGAAGGACCATGCATGTTCAGTATGAGCTGAACGGCACTGAACTGTTCCTAATTCCACGTTTCTCCTCCTGCAGTATAACAAACACCTGTTTGTGCACATTGGGCAGTCCAGCCCCAGCTGCAGTGACCCCTACCTCGAGGCAGTGGACATCCGGCAGATCTACGACAAGTTCCCCGAGAAGAAGGGGGGCCTGAAGGAGCTCTTCGAAAGGGGGCCGGCTAATGCCTTCTTCCTTGTCAAGTTCTGGGTAAGGGAAGGACCCCTGAAGGGTGCCTGTGTTCTGTGCAGGTCTCCCCTCAGAAGCAGTGGCCCTGCTGGCTGTTGGAGGGCTGCCACGTCCCAGGAGATGTGCCCTGTGTGGTACAGCCACCGCTGCCACTGCAGCTCCTGCCTCGGCTGCAGGAGATGCTCCTTCCCCCCTGGAGCAAGATGTCCCTTCCACAGGGCCAGCCCTGGGTTTGTTCTTGACTGCTGGCTGGAGGTTGATTTGCTGATGGTGTCTTGGGCCCTTAACAATTTTTATTTATGTATAGGAGCAGAACTGAGAGGAGACTGTTCTGTGCACTCTCGTGTGTTCACTTCTCTCAGCGCTGAGTCACTTCTCAGTCAGGGGCAGTTTCCCGTCTCCTCTTCATCTCGTTAGCTGCATTTTGTGTTATTCAGGTACTAATAACTTAGAGATGCATGTTTACTGGGGGCACAAAGACAAACAAAAGATGAGCCAGACATAAAATGAAATTGGATTATGTAACTGAAATGGCTTCTGGTACGTTGGCAGAAACCAGCCCAGCAATAGCCCACTCGCTCAATTCGGGTTGCTGTAAGTTAGATGAAATTTGCAAAACTGTGCCCTTGTGCTGCAGGGTACAAATAAAATGGTTATTTTGATGTAGGTATTTTATTTTAAAATGTATTTAGATAATTATTTCATTTATTAAATTAATCCAGTTATAATTAATATTATTTATTAAGTTAAATTTATCAAATTCTTAAAAATCGATTTAAATAGCTATTTTGTTATTATCATAGGTATTGCAAGACTAAAAATAGCAGCAGCTTGGGGCACTTGCCCACTAGATGTCTGAGGGAATGTGCAGTAGGATTTGAAGCCTTTCACCTTGAGTTTGCTACTTATAATTCAACCCCAGGTCAGGAGTGAGTTGATGAGAAATGAGCTTTCCTGTCTCATGGCCTTTTAACAAACTGGCACTGGACAGCCTCTTAACTGTGGGTTCAGAAGGAAGAGTTGACTTGAGTGCCTTGAAATGCAGCTCCTGGCTGTCCCAAGCCTCAGCTGGCTCAGGGTCTGCTGTTGAAATGTCTGAAACCTAGAGGGTGAGTTGCTGGTGACAACTTTACTCACCACAGACTGTGCTACTGAAGTAAGCTGCTCATGGGTCAGCGTCTGTCAGAGTGCAGCAAAACCTGCTTGGGAAGGCTGGAACAAAAAGTGAAAGAGTCTCTATGGAGGAGAAACAGCAGCAGCTTGCTGGAAAAGTGTATCCCATGACAAACCCTAGGTAGTGATTGCCCTGCTAAGAACTGTCTGGAAAAAGAAACAGAAGTCTGATGTGACTGACCAAAGAGAGGGAAAAGGCTAAGAGGGGACAGCTCCTAAGGAAGGATCTTTGGAAAAGTAGGAGCTGCAAGAGCTCCTGCTGTGGGGATCCCAGGAAACTTGGTGTTAAGGTGAAGAGCACTGGCTTCTGTGTGGTGTAACTGCAGTGGTCTGGAAGTTAAGGGAGCCCCAAGGAAGAGCTTGGAGGGAGATGTCATGTGTAGTTTTAAGCTTGAAGAACCTGAGGCAGGAACCTGCCATTGCTGCACTAGGTGCTGAGCACCCCAGGTGCTCTGTGGAGCACCAGAAGCCTGGCACTAGGCACTGGGCTTGAGGTGTTTTGCTCCTAGCACTGGAGGGCTGTGTGACTGAGGAAGAGGTGCCCATGTTTGCTCGATGGGGCTTTAAACTCTTTATGCCATAACCAAGAGTTAACAGTTGATCAGTTTGAAACGTAAGCAGCTCCTGTGTGGTTTGGGCATGGGCAGTTGGCACAGTGAGCTGACCCCTGGGCTCGGGTTGGCAGGCTGCGTGTGACATCTGTGTGACATTTCTCTGTGCTCCAAGTGCATTCCAGCACACGACAATGACTGAGACCCCAGGCTCACCCCCGGGCAGGGGCAGCCCTGCTCCTGTCCCCTGTAATGCTATCCCTGCCACCTGTCCCCTGGCTCTCCCTCAGCCCCTCCTGCCCCGCTATTAATAGTGTGGGGAAGAGGCGTTCTCGGGGCTCTGCACATTACTAGGATGGTGCACTCACATCTTGAGGCTTTCAGAAGTAGGGCACTCTCTGAGTGGAAGGTGGAAGGAGAATGGCAAAGCAGGAGTTGAGGGCAGGCAGTGCTTGTCCAGAGCAGGCACCTGCAGAGGGGCAGATCAGGGGGTTGCTGGGGGAGACCTTTGCTGCCAGTGTGAGTAGATGTAGTCATCTCTTCTCCCCTGTGACAGGCAAACTGGACTAGTCAAATCACTCAGTGATTTCTTGCCAGTAAATGAATTCTTCTCTTGTGGAAGTGGCTGAAGGGGTGGGCTGAAGACTTGCCCTGGACTTGGCTTCTCTCCTGTCCCAAGCAAATTCTGTCAGAGCATCAGTGGTGCAAACTCCCCTTGGCACCCTGCCCTGCTGACTGTGTGTGCCTCCAGCCCTGCCCTGGCAGGAACTGCTTGGAGAGCAAGGAGGTGGTAGTTTGGTCTCCATGTCTATTCTGTCCTTGGCACTCCTGAGAGCAAGCAAGACAGCAGCTAGCAACAGAGATTTGCATGGTCTTTGCACATTTTTTGTGAGAATGGATCTGACAGCCAGTAACTTCACCTGCAGTCACCAGCACCACAACCTAACAGTTCCTACAGCATGTAAGGACACCCTGTTCCTGGCAGTTCTTTCACCAAAGTCATTCCCCACAGTGCTCAGCAGTGTAGAGAGCAGACTGAGAGACTGAGCTGCTGAGGAAATCTCTCTGCTGAGTGTCAGAATAACACTGTTCTGGGGGGCTGGCTAAGCTGCAGCTACCATACTGTTGGCAAAGCCTTCTGCTGTCTTTGTCCAGCTCAGAAACTCTCCCCTCCTCCCTTTCGTGGAGACTGAAGCTGCAGAGGCACAAGTTTTGGACTGTGCTTAAAGAATTGTTCAACACTTGCCTTTCCATTGACCATGTGGGACCTGTGTGCAAGATCTCAGCAAGCTATGGCTTCTCACAGCATTTAATGCTGTTTGGACTCCTGCCCACTCATTGCTTTTCAAAACCTCAGGTGAGGTGAAGACTGATTCTCAAAGGTCACATTTCCCTCTGCAAAGAGTTTCAGATAGATTTTCATTCACAGCCTCATCCTCATGGGAATGAGGCCTCTCTTGGTAATCAGTTGGGAAACTCGCTCCCACCAAAGATCAGAGAAAAGTCTTGGGCTGACGTATGCTCAGGAGAGTGCACAGTGCACAATGCCAAATTTTATCTTTATTTTTTTGGGTTGCAGAAGTTGAGTGATGGGCTCAAACTCAGCAGAGCTCCCAAGAGATTTAGACCAATATGATTAAAAAAAAAAAAAAGGTAGTAGTAGCTTGTTGAGGGTTCCTATACCCTTCTCTGAACAAATCCCTTCTCTTCCATCTAGAAATGTTGTAAGTATTTAAAAATTCTGCTTACTTCTCTGGAAAGGAGGAAATCTCAGACCTTTCCCCCAAAACCCACAGTTCCACTCTTGCATGCCGTATGTAGATGTTTGAGATGTGCTAGGTCACAGATAGCTCAGTGATTGTGGTTTCAGCATGTTTGGAAGTCATCAAGCAAGCTGTAGACAGTATGTTATCCATGCTGAACTTGCACAGTACGTTGAATGCATCCCAAGCACATCAGGTTGCTGCTGTGCTGGAGTGTGCACAGCTTCTTGCATCTACAGCTTCTTGGACAGAAAGCAAGAGCCCTGAGTTTGTCAGATAAAGGAGTATGATCCAGGTGGTGGCTCACAACTCAGATTTTAGTTTGTAATGTGCCTCATCTATTTGATCTTCTGCCTTTCCCCTGGAAGAGGTGGAGAACAGCTGTTTTGATTTCTGGACACCACCCAGCTAGCTGAGTGCTGCTGCTCCCTCTGCTGTAGTCCCCCCATGTTGCTGGCAGTGGCTAATAGGGCCCTGGAGAGCAGGGCAACCAGCCCATTGGCTATGGGCTTTCCTAAGTCCTGACTGTCTCCTCTGGCTCTCTAGGCTGGGGTAAGGAATGTATTCAAGAGTTGTGTCACTTGTTGGGCTTGTTGGCATTTGCCAGTGAGGAGTCTTCAGATCAGAATTGTGGGCAGTGGTGTTGAACAAGTCTGTGTGTTCACAGCCTGTAAAGTGAAGGTTGGCTCTGCTGCTTGATGAAGTGCTGGGAAGATAAGTTTCCTGTGAGTCATAGCCACTGTTGTTCCCTTGCATCTCTGAGGTCTGAATGTTCTGCACTGAGTGGTTGTGCTTTGACACCAGGTTATCTTCAGAGAAAGAGACCGACAGTGAAGAGAAAGGAAGAGTCCTGTTCCACAGGGCAGCAGTGTGGTTTCGAGTCCTGCTGGCCTAGGTGCTCCAAGGAGCTCACAGGAACCTAGGCATGGAGCCCATAGCATTTTTGGGTGTTAAGTTAAAAGCACCAGCTCTTTTGGCAATTAGAGATGCCATGATTTTGTCCTGATGCAATGCTGAGAAGTTTAACTGCATCCATTAATGATTTAGCTCGGTGTCCAGTGGACACACAGAGGTTAACTTGACTATGGCAGGTAACAGTGTTCTTCCTCAGTTTTCTGCCTTGTCTCCCTTCAGGAGGAAATCATCTCCCTTGCAGGGGAAACTAACAGGTTTGAGTTCCACTCCTGAGTTTTCTTTGGTTTCCTGTTCACGTACATAATTGCCATTTTCAGTTTAGATGAATTATTTGCAATCTGGTTTATTCAAGAGCAGATATGTGTGTGCTAAATAATCTCTGGTATGAAGGCAGTAACTGCCACAGGGGGTGGAAACCAGCAGCTGCAGGTACGTAAATAACTCCTCACTGTGGGACCAGCACTGTCTGTCTGAGAGCTGCAGCCTCATCCCCCCGCAGCTGCAGCTGGAGCTGGAGCCCTCGGCTGGCTGCTGCTGGAACTCCTGTGCCTGTGTCTAGGGGCTGAGACTCTCAGAGGTGGCAGCAGGAGGTGGGTGCACAGCTTGTGTTGACTGATCACCCTCAGACACATCTGAGCCTCCCATAGTGTGGGATGTGCTTTGGAATAAAAGGTGCAGTGTAAAGGTCAGGGAGTTCCAAGATGACCCCGTTGCTCCACTGCAACAGGGCTGTCAGAAGTTTAAGTGCACATAATGCTGGTGAATGGCAATGACTGCTTAATTCAAACAGTATTGCCAGAATTTTGCATACTGCCAAATAGTTTAGTGTTGATTAATTAGATGTTAACCAGCTGTGAAACTCTAGTCTGGTCTTTTTGATGGGAGACTTGTCAAACTGTGGAAGTACCCAGGGTGGGTTCTCGGGGCTAGTGCAGCTGTTCTCATGCAGTGGAACTGGCACGTTTCTGCTTTGCCTCATGGTTGCTGTACTCAGTTTTTAATGTGCCATGAAGAGTTTAGGGGAACGTAACCTTAACTTTACTGTGAGGGCGTTTGCCTGGTTCTGCAGTGAGAGCTGCTGCTGTGTTGACATATCAGTGGCCCAACCAAGCCTCTGTAGCCTTGAGCTGTTGTTCTTTTGACTCAGTGGGACAGTGTCTTTGGAAAAGCAGAACTGAGTCCGTACATTGTGTTTATCACCCCCCAGAGAAAGAGATGAACAATATTGTGAAGGACTCTGCTAGTTTATTTCCTCTGTGGAGAATGGAGGGCAGTAATCTTTATTCAGACAGTATTGGAGGATGGGTCAAATAAACAATGCACTTAGTTGCATTGACATGTAAATGAGTGTCACAGGAACAATAAAAACCTAAGCTGGAATGGAGCAGCACTGCTGCTCTCTGGTACCTGTATCTTTGTGTGCAGACGTGGCTCGCGTGGCTATAGGAGGGAAAAACTGATAGCAGGGCTTTGGCATGGCTGTAACAGTTCGCTTGGACCCTGAGCTGTGGAACCCTGAGCCTGTGACTTGTTCCTGTCAGTGCCTGTGCCCACGTTTCCTCCTGTGCAGACCCCGGTGGAGCCCCGCGCCGCGCTCCCGTCGCATGGGCAGTCAGGAACATGGACAAGCTGCCACTCTTCCTCCAGGTGTTGCTCCCAGGCCTTGTGCAAAAGTTATCACTACCTCTGTGGTGAAAATCTGAACGATGTAAAATTACTTTTTAAAAAAGCTTTTAATCCATATTGGTTTACTGATACGTTTTAACACATATACCCAGATTTCTGTTCAGCTCAGTGAGGAGGCAGAAAACTGAGGCACAAAGGGATAAGTTGTTAAGAGAAGCTGGGAACCTGTTCAGCTGGATTTTTTTTTTTTTATGAAGCTATCTTCTGAGGAGAAGCAAAATAAGAATAAAATAATTGCCAGCTTTGTATGAGTATCTCCTGATAAATGAGAGGATGCTCTTGAATTTATAATATGCAGGGTATGACAAATGTAGGAAAATGTAAAGGAAGGAGAGCACAGCTGGTGTAAACTGCTGTGAAGGTATTATACATGTAGGGCCAAGTGTGTTCACAAGGGCTGAAGATCTGTCCCTACTTCAGAAGAAGGGATTCTGCTTAAAAGGGTGAGTCCTGGAGAAGGCAGACCCTTCTGAAACAGGCACTTTCGTCTGTAGCCTCTGGTGAAGGTGGTACAACTGTTAAGGATTTCTGCAGAAACTGTGTGAAACAACACAGTCATTTTGAAGTGTGATTTGTGATTATATGTTTAAATACTGTGCTGTTCTGCTCTCCACTGAAAGCAGAGTGAGCAGAGTGGAAGCTCCAGGGCCATCCCCAGTGCTGCCAGCGTTGATGTCAACGTTGCAGCATTCTGTCATCTTGCCTGGATTGAATCTTTGTCCCACTGGAATTATCTGAATGCTACAACTGCTATTCTAGGAGATATGCAAGGAGCTGCACTGCCCACAGTACTTCATGAAAAGCCTACCCTAAATCTGTCTCTCCCTTGCTTCTGAGTTTGTACTTAAACAAACAAAGAAACCAAACCAGACCCCAGCCCCGTGGTAATTGGATTCCGTTGGTTTGTTTGCTTGGATCCTCTGTGACATCACTTCTCTGCTGCAGATGATCGTTTTTCTCTAGGTGGAGATCCATGTGCACAGGGGCAGTAATGCCCCAGCATTGTGCTAACGTGGAGAATGAACTGAGTTTTCTGAAATAAACGGGGAGATGGTTTAGCACCTCCTCCTTCACATGCCTGACGTGGCAAGTTAACAGCCCTGAGAACTGGCCTGAATGAAAATACTGCATATTATTATGTGCTGCTTTTCCTGCTAGTGCCTCTGGCATCACTGTGGGCAAAAGGATGAATTCCTCTGACAGCTCTGTGTGATGGGAGCTGCTGGAGAGTGCTGTGGCACAGGGATGGCCCAGCCCAACTGGTGAGGGGCAAAGCTTTCAACCTGGAAGGAATGACAACCAAGTGTGGCTTCTAGCAGGTTCCCAGTTACTGCTGTAGTTATCCACACCCAGTGTTCTCTAGAAGAAGCAGTCCTGCCTCCTGCTTTCCTTATTGCTGCCCATCTTCCTGACACACATTCTTTGTCTGAACACACAGAGGTGCTTCTGAGCTGGGCCATGGAGCTGATCCTGTTGAGAACTCCCTGAGCAGTTCCTCCTAAGAGCTGTAACACAGCTGCAGAACCATTTGTGTCAGTACAGGAGGAATGGGGAGGTACAAACTGCCTGGGACAGTGAGACTGCTCTCTCTTGGTGTCAGGAACAGCCTGGTGTTACAAAACTACAGCCTGAGGTGCAGTTTCCTCAGATGTTGAAGCCAACTTGAGTATATGTTGCTGTGAAAACAGGCAGTCGTTGTGCCCTCAGCTTTGGTGCGTGTTCTCGCCTTCCCCAGCCCTGCAGTTCTGTGGAGATCCAAGTGAGCTTTCTGGTCTGCTTGAAAACTGGCTCACCAAACACACCAAAACCTGTTCTGGCTGGGGTCAGCTCTCATGGGGCTGACCAGAGTTACACAGTTGCTAACGGTGGCACAAAGGCAGCAGCAAGCTTCTGTCACTGCAGCTGAGGAGACTGGACTGGCACCTTCTAGATTGACTTAAACCTCTTGTGAAATTGCTACTTAGGAGAAATAAGCTAACTGTATTATTCCATGGCAGAGAAGAGACAGGTTTTGTGTGGCAAGGTGTGGGGGTTCAGCCCCAGGCAGGAGCTGGGCACTGGGAGGCTGCTTGCTCACCCTCCAGGAAAAGCACCAGGGGAAAAACTAACCCTGTCCCAGCCCAGCCAGACACAGAAAAGGGGGACTTGTTACTGAGGTGCTCCAGGGCATCCGTGCAGTCCTGTTGGCATTGCACCCCCTGC